CCCACCCCGCTTTCCACATTCCCCACCCCGGAACCCTGCTGAGCCGACTGGAGTCACTGCCCCTGACGGCCTGAGGGGTGCTGCAGGGCAAGGAGTAAAGGTGTCCTTTGCTGCTGGACCTGCCAGGGTGGGAGTCAAAGGGCTTCTGTCTCCCAAAGGGAAACAAGAGAGAAGATCTCCTTCAGGACAGTTGGAAGCACTTAAAACAAACATAGAGGATTCTAAATTTTAGAATTTAAAGTGGGTGACCCCACCTAAGGGGGTCCAGAGCTATATGAGTATTTGAAAATAAGAGAGCCAGAATTACCCAAGAACATCCAGCTCGTTTTGCCCCGCCTCCGACCCACCAGCCCCATAGACCCTCCCATCATGGCTCCAGCCACAGTGGTTCCCCAAACACGCTGTCACCACATCAGTCATTCTTGCATTTTCAGAGAACAAGTACTGGACAAGGAGGTGAGGAGTTTCCCAGTCCTCGCGGTGTCCAGCCCCATGATCTGGGGAAGACTTTTAACTTGTCCAGTCTATAATTTCCCCATTAGGCAAAAATCCATAGGGGTATTATGTTGGGTGATCATTTAGGTTCCTTTGATCTCTGAATATCTGGATTTAGCCATTCCTGGTTTTTGTACAAGGCAAGTGCTGACACATTTATTTCACCTCCATTCAAACTACAGCCCCGACTGCCAATGGTCACAGGGAGAATACGGAAAAAGCTTCGGGCTCTCTCCAGCTCAGAATCTCCCTCTGGAGTAAGAAGTCTTACAGTGCAGCGGCCAAGGCTCTGGGTTATCAGAACTGAACGTGATCTCCTTCTAACATGCTAGCTGTGAGCTGAGGTAGGCTACAGAACGTCTCTGGGCCTGCTTCCTCATTCTGTAAGGTGGAGATACCGACTACACCTTCCTAATCATATGACACTGACAGGGGATACTTGAGACTCTGCTTGTATGGTGCTTTGTAGACTTTCATTGGAAAGCTGGAGAGAAAGGCTTTGCAAACAAAGTTTTCTTTAAAAAAAAAAAAAGAAACGGATGGTGATACGAAAACACAAGTCATCATCTGTGCATTTCTTTTTGTGGTTGGCCTGTGATGGGGCTCTCAGGGTCGGCCCCGCCCACCTCACTAAAGGTCACTGAAGCCCAACCCTTCCTAGCACTGAAGGGGCAGGGGAAAGTGACAGTGTTTTCACTCATCATAGGAGACACCAGGAAAAGGACCTAGGGAAGCACATAAATTATGGGAAATCCTGAAACACCCAGAGAATATAGGCCAGGATGAAATCTTCATAGATTTAGTTCAAAGAGTGAAATAAGTTGTTGATTTTTCACAGCCTTATTTCAGCTCCAGAAATCTAGACTCCTCTAAGAATCTGTCTGTTGCAAAGACTCCAGGAAAGAGGAAAAGTTAGAGGTCAAGCACAAAAGTCCACCTCTGTGCAAAGCCCCATCTGCCAGCTTTCCACTCTGTGGCACTGGAAAGCTGGAGCCCTCCAGGGCCCTCTGCACTCCACCTCCTTCCTTGTGGGTTGGGGCAGGCTCCTGCATTTTTAACCAGCCGTTGCTCCTGCTTGGTTCTGGGTATTTGAACAAGGCTCATTTTAATAGAAGAAGCCTTTGAATGCTTTGCTTGAGCAGAAAGTCCTGCTGTAAAACCAGGGCAGGCAAGTCTTCTAAACAAGTTCTTAAGAGGAGTATAAACAACGTTGCTTTGCTTCACTTTGCTTCACTCCACAGGTTACCCCTCAGCTCTTGGAAATAAAAACATATTTCACCTCTTCCAGGAGAACACACCTTAAGAGGGGAAAGCACCACCGGTGCCCTGGCTCGGGGAGCAGGTAGTAGCTTCAGTGGGATTCTGACGAGGGAGGCTGCCCACCCTGCCTTGTTCGGCCTGTTGCCTCCCAACGAGGGTGACGGCAGCACTTAGCCACACTCCTCTGGCTCCAGAATTCTACAGGACACTGCTTTCCTTCTGGTTTTTTAATGGCCACTTCAAGAGGAAGTACTGACATGGTTAAGACTATGGGTTTTGCAGCCCTGGCTATGGGTTTGAATCTCAACTCTGTCACTCACTAGCTGCTTGACTCACTTTCTTCAACTGTAATATGGAAATGCTGGTATAACAGCTTACTATGTTGATACATTTAAAACATTTACAATGCTTAGAAAGGCTCAATAAATAAATAGCTTTTTTTTTTTTTTTTTTTTTTTTGGCCTTGCCACGCAGCTTGCAAGACCTTAGTTCCCCGACCAGGGATCAAACCTGGACCCGGCAGTGAAAACGCTGAGTCCTGACTACTGGACCACCAGGGAATTCCCGATAAATAGCTGTTATTGCTTGAAAAAAGAAAAGCTGTCTCTATCTTCCCCTCATTGGAAGGGAATTCAGGAGAATTCTAAGGGGAAAAATTGTCATCTCCTTGAAAGCAAGGACAATGTTTGACTGCTCATCTCCCAGCCAACCTAGCATAGGGCCTGGTCATGTTGGTCCTCAATGTATGGTTTTTGGATGAATAAAAAGGGCAGAAGGGTAATTGTAGACAGCTGTCTTTATAGGGCAGTTCAAATGACACTTGGAGACACATTCATGGCAGTGTAAGGGCTGGGTTCCCTTCCAGAAAGAGAGGACAGACTAGTTCACAGCACATCCTTGGACTTGAGAACCTGATTCTTGGCATGGAAAAGCTGTTGTTCCCAGAGTTAGGCAGATTCTGAAATGGAGCACAGGAGGTTTTCAACAGCTCCATGCCCTGTGCAAGCTGCCAAGGGAGAATTAGGTGCCTGCTCCTTCTGGAAGGCAGGAAGGAGAGCAAGGGATGGAACTGAAAGAATCAACACACACACACACACACACACACACACACACACACACACACACACAGTCTTAGCTCACAGAGGCATTTAATTGCATCCAGGTGAGTACATTTGAAGTTTTATGCTACAGTTTTTGGAAAGTACCATTTTAAGTTAGGGACATATCCTAAAACATGGGAACAAAGGAAATTAGCTCTATAAGCAGCAGACCTCAACCAAATTCAGCTTCTTTTCTTCCTTTCACATTAGATCTGTCAAGATAATGTGCAAAAGCTCCCATCATCTTCTCTCCTATCACCCGTGCACATGTATTCACGAGGCTAGGGATGGTCAAAATGATCCAGACTGTACAAACCATGGGATGACATTTCTAAACACAGCAGTACTCTCTCACCCTTCCACTGTTGTCTCAGCAATTGACTTATTCCTTAAACTGTACAGTTCCTGAACCTTCCAGGGGCTGCATGAAGCTACTGGTGCCAATTTCTGTGGAAAGCTCTCTTCAGTGCCTATAGAAACTAGAGGAGGACAGAGCAGTCTAGGTGCTGCTGTAACACAAAAGGCGTCACTTCCCCGGGATTATGGATGCCTCAGCCAAAATAAAGAGGAAAATGTGTCAGAGAAGAAGGGTTGTGGGGACAACATCTATTGATTACCTGCCATCACAAGAGTCCTGACACTAGGCCTTGAAATGGGTGTTATCACACCCATTTTACAGGTGAGGAAACTGAGGCCAGTGAGGACCATCTTTCTTATTTCTCCTAAATTCTACTAATCTTTCAAAGGTTAGTTATATTTTAAAGAAAACAGTGTGCTAGAGCCAGATGTGACTTTAAGAGTATTTAACTCAGACCCACCTGAGAGTTCAGGTGGCCGAGGTGGTATGGCTGGGGACCCACCCAAGGGACCCAAGCAGCTGATGCTGAATAGAAGGGAGAACCCGGGTCTCCCAGCCCTCACTACTGGGACCTCTTTTTCCATTGTTCGAGATCATAAATGTGCGGCTTCCATTGTGCCTCTGCTTAATGCAAATGAAAGCATTGCTTGTTTTCCTTCACCAAGGAGGGTCTGGATCAGCACATTTCTTCTCTCCCCTGGTAGATACAGGATGAGAACACTCACTATGGGCCCCAGCAGGGTGACCACCAGCTTCCTCTGCCTGTCTCATCAAACTCAGCTCTCCTTTTGATTTCTCTCAGCTGGTGTATGAGTAGAAACCATTACTAGCAGAATTCAAGCTTCTGCTTGTTGAAAACTTCCTACTTGCTCCTATGCTAAGAGCTTTCTATTTATTCTAATTCAGCCCTCCTGCCTACCCTGCTGGCTCAATATTATCATCACAACAGCTAAGAGACTTGCCCAAGGTCATTCAGCTAATAAATGCCAGAGCTGAGATTCAACTCCAGCTGAACGTGCTGCCCGGATCATTACTATCTCCTCGAGAGACGCTGCCCTGCGATCCCTTTTACTTTGCACCGTTGTCCTCACTGTTTCAAAGCAGCGCCGCCCACCCGCGCACGCCACCCCCGGTTATGCACACTCTAAACAGTCTCTCACTTGCTCTATCCCGCGGCCCCTTGCGGGCCCCCGCACCCATCACCCCAAGGAAGGGACTTCCTGAGAACCCACTGCTTAACCAAAACCCAATAAGGCCAATGCTAGAAATCCAAGTTACAACGCTATTTAACAACCCAACGACTCCCTTTTATCCTCAACATTTTCCCTTTCCTCGCTTTGCTGCCTTCCAGTTTTCCCCGCTGGTCACAAAACCCCTTATGTGGAAGCTGACCATCTTTTTCTGACCTCCGGGACTCAATAAGGGCCCCAGTCCTCAGTCTTCAATGGTCCTGTCCAATGTCGTTTTACCTCCTTCCTCCTAGATGTTTTGCTCTTTCGATTCTATTCTTTTCACTCGATCCTCTGACCGACTGACTTCCTGGTTCTCCTTTCTGTCCTCAGAGTAAAGTCCAAATGCTCGCCTTTCCAGCCGTGACCCCTCCTACTCCCTTTTCCACCTCCCCTTGCCCTGGTTTCTTGTGTTGTTTGGCATCTCCAGACTCTCCAGTCTCACCAGACCAGACCTTTCCCTGTGACACCTGGGTGCCTGAACTCTTGCTGTTCCCTTCGCCCGAATAACATTCTTCCCTTATCCACCTGGCAAACTCCTACAGAGCCTAAGGCCCATCTCAAATGCACACGTCATGCACCATTTAATGAACCAACACTCAGTAAACACAGGTGAAATGGAGTGGAATCATTAGTATCACATTACATAGAGTTTGTTGATTCAGGAAAAGGAGCAATGCAGTGGCCTCAGGTTCTTTCTCCGTAGTAGGCATTGATGTTGTCACCAGGACAGGCTGTTCCAGGGAAAGGTCCAAGGGCCCCTTGGTCCTTCCCAGGAAGCCCCCTCTCCTCACCCCCAGGCTGTCTGGAGCCCACCTCCCACGTGGCCCCCGGTGGCCCCCATACCTGAGGAACTTGTTGAGGTCCCCGTGCTTCATGTACTCAAAGACCATGATGAGCGGGTCACCCTCCACGCAGACGCCATAGAACTTGACGATGTGTTCGTGCTGGAGGTTGGTCAGCAGCTCGGCCTCGCGGTGGAAGTCCTTGCGTGCATTGTCGCTGGCATCCTTCAGCGTCTGGGGACCAGGGGCAGAGGGGAGAAAACCAACACAGCTTAGACTGAGGGTGTGAGAGGGAAGCTGCGTTGAGAGGAATTCCTTTAGGGGGCTTTGAGGTTCCTGGATGGGAAGGACATTCATCTCATGTATCACCCAAAAGATTGAAAAACTAGCCTAATTCCTAAGCAAATAATGTTTGTATGAATAACTGAGGAAAAGTTCCTTCTGGGTACACAAAGGTTTAGTTTATGAAGGATTTACATAGATGTTCTTTCATTAAGTGACAGACGTGAACTTTTTACAAGATATTGAATATAGTTCCCTGTGCTATACAGTAGGTCCTTGTTTATCTATTTTATATATAGTAGTGTGTATCTGTATCTGTTAAACCCAAGTTCCCAATTTATCCATCCCCCCACTCCTTTCCCGTTTGGTAACCGTAAGTTTGTTTTCTATGTCTGTGAGTCTATTTCTGTTTTGTAAATAAGTTCATTTGTATCATGTTTTAGATCCCACAAATATTTGTCTTTCTCTGTCTGACTTCACTTAGTACGATAATCTCTAGGTCCATCCATATTGCTGTGAATGGCATTATTTCATCCTTTTAAAGGGCTGAGTAATATTCCATTATACATACGTACCACATCTTCTTTGCCCATTCATCTGTCAATGGACATTTAGTTTGCTTCCATGTCTTGGTTATTGTAAATAGTGCTGCTGTTAACACTGGTGTGCATGTGTCTTTTAGAATTAGAGTTTTCTTCTTTTCCAGATATATGCCTAGGAGTGGGACTGCAGGATCATATGGTAAACCTATTTTTCGTTTTTTATGGAACCTCCATACTGTTCTCTGTAACGGCTGTACCAGTTTACATTCCCACCAACAATGTGAACGGCTCCCTTTTTTCCACACCCTCTCCAGCATTTATTATTTGTAGACTTCTTGATGATGGCCATTCTGACCAGTGCAAGGTGCAGACATTAACTTTTTATCACCTTCACCCTTTTTAACCCTGGTCCCAATTACTACCTCGGACATCTCTCCCATTTGGGGGCTGGTTGTACTTTCTAGGCTGCTCTGCACACCTCGCCTCTGCTCATATAACCTTTGTAAAGCTTTATATTATGGAAATATTCAGTAGAGAGAAGATCATAATGACCCCTCATGTACCCATCTTCCAGCTTCAACAATGATCACTTTGCCAGTCTTTATTATGTAAGGTCTCCAAAAAGCCTTCCCCAACGTGTGCCCACACACACTGCTGGCTCAGGAAACATCCTTGCCAGTGAGCTCAAGAAGGCCAGTCACACTGCCACAAAGACAATGCCCAGGAGCATGCCAGCTGGCCTCTGGTGCCGTCTAGTTCTCTGCTCACCCACCACGGTGTCACAGCAGGGCACAGCTGGCATTTGTTGGTGCCATGCACACATGCTGAGCTCCCGTCCTGTGTCAGTCACTGACCAGAGCTGCGGTGGCATCAAGAAGACAATGACCAAAACAGGGGCCTCAGACATTCATGAGCAAATAGGGTGATAAATCACAATGATAATTCAAGCTCCAAACACAATGCCTGAATGAACTGGCTCCACTGCATCTCTGTACAGCTTGATCTCTTGACATGCCTGCCTTGAAACTTATACTTCCACCTTATGAAATGTCTGCAGCTGCCCAAATGACAAGGGCCATGCCCCCTGCCCCTGCCCGTGTTCATCCCTCTGCCTGGGATGCTGACTTGGTCAGGGTCACTGGTGTTGGAGGTTGAATAATGCCCCACCCCAAAGGTATCCGCATCTTAATCCCTGCAACTTATGAATATGTTACCTTACATGACAAAAGGGACTTTTTTTTTTTGCGGTACACGGGCCTCTCACTGTTGTGGCCTCTCCCGTTGCAGAGCACAGGCTCCGGACGCGCAGGCTCAGCGGCCATGGCTCACGGGCCTAGCCGCTCCGCAGCATGTGGGATCTTCCTGGACCGGGGCACGAACCCATGTCCCCTGCATCGGCAGGTGGACTCTCAACCACTGCGCCACCAGGGAAGCCCCAAAAGGGACTTTTTTATAAATTTATTTATTTATTTTTTGGCTGTGTTGGTTCTTTGTTGCTGCACGCGGGCTTTCTCCAGTTGTGGAGGGCGGGGGCTACTCTTCGTTGCAGTTCGTGGGCTTCTCACTGTGGTGGCTTCTCTTGTTGTGGAGCACGGGCTCCAGGCATGCAGGCTTCAGTAGTTGTGGCTCACAGGCTCTAGAGCGCAGGATCAGTAGTTGTGGCGCACGGGCTAAATTGCTCCGTGGCATGTGGGAATCTTCCCGGACCAGGGCTCGAACCCGCGTCCCCTGCGTTGGCAGGTGGATTTTTAACCACTGCACCACCAGGGAGCAAAAGGGGCTTTGCAGATACAATTAAGGATCTTGATGTGGAGAAATGAGCCTGGATTATTTGAGTGGGCCCCAGTGTCATCATAAACAAGGGTCCTTCTAAGAGACCGGCAGGAGGGGCAAGAGAGAGAAGCTCTTAGGATAGAAGCAGAGGTCAGAGAGGAGAGAAGATGCTGTGCTGCTGGCTTTGAAGAAGGAAGAAGAGGCCATGAGCCAAGGAATGTGGGCAGCTCTAAAAGCTGGAAAAGGCATGAAAACAAATTCTACCCTAGGCCCTCCAGAAGGAGCCAGGACATCTTGACTTTAACTAAGTAAACTGATTTCAGACTTCTGCCTCCAGAACTGTGAGAGAAACAATTTGCGTTGTCTAGGCCACTGAGTTTGTAGTAGTTTGTTACAGCAGCCATAAGAACTAATACACCTGGCTAACACCTAGCAGTCCTCCAAGACTGGGCTTGGCCATCACCTTTCTGAGAAACGTTCGCTGACCCTCTCATCATTGTCACATCCCCACGGCCTGGCCTCCCAGGCTAGGTTGGATGACCCTTCTAGGTATACCTCGTACCCACCTCTATCATACTGCCAGCCACAGTACATTCTCACTGCATGTTTATTTGCTTATCTCTGGTGTATATGGTGAGCTTCTTGACCCAGGGACTGTGCCTTCCACCTCTGCACTGCTGGCATTGGGCACGGCACCAGGCACATGGCAGGTAGTCAAGATTTATTTGTGCAATGAGCCAGGGTTTAAACCTGGACCTTTTGATGAGAAGCTAGAACTCCTCCCCTTTGGGTACCATAGTGTGAGGATCTGCCTTTGACTGAAAGGAGAACACAGACTTTGGCTCTGCTCTGGACCTCTCTGAACTCTGGTTTTCTCTTCTGTAGGGTGAGGGTAACAATATCATCTACTTCACAGGGTCCCTGGGAGGACTGGATGAGATAGACTAAGTTGAGATGCCTCCCAGGCTCCCTGGTACAGACAGATATTTGGGAGATTTGAATTTGGAACTCCAACCAAGTTGCATTCAATTTGCTCACGCTAGGATCCAAGAAGGCCAAAAGGTGCATGGATAAGGCAGGGGGCCAGCCCAAGGCATGAAAGTGTCCCTGAGTCTGCCACTGGTTCCCTCCTGAAATCCCTTGAAGGCTGCAGAGTTTTCTCAGAGATCCAGTCTTTTTATGCAGGGGCTTCTCTGAGTCGCTGAGATAGCTTATTTCTATGGCCTTGGTCCATCTTTAACAGTGTGTTGGAGAAGGCAAATGAAACTTTCAGGTCATTGTCACAAAGCATGAACAAATTCTGCATGTAAATTTTCTTCTCAAGTTTCATCTATGTAGCGTTGATTCAAGAATGCTAAATTTTGTGTGTGTCTGTGTGTCTGTGTGTCGTGTTAGAGAAAGAGGTGGGGGGATGTCAGACAGTGGGGTAGAGTGGGGAAGAAGATAGGATTTTCACTGGGGAGGCACCAAACTGAAAGAATTAACAGGCATTTCATATTTCCATTTCCTCAAAGCAAAATCCTACGGGAAGAGACTCCACTCTTAGTGCAACGTTAAAAACTGTGCTTCAGTAACATTTTTGAATTTAAGAGAGGAGATTTCACTATTCATGGGACCAATGCATTTCACAAACCTGGCCTCATCCTATGTGCCCATCCATTTTTACATGTCAAGTTCTTTTTCTAAATTATAATCCAATTCTATTTTAAGAGATTCAGAAAACATGGCGGTAACGAGTTGGGCAAAATCATCTTCTGAATTTGGCACTCGAAGGACAGAATTTTTCTAAGGGTGGAACCATAGCCAGACAGCAACCAGAAGCTGGAAAAATCCTGCTATCAACCCTATTTATAGAATTCATCTCTGTTTTAGCACCATGGCTGATTGTGTCCCTTGGCAATGGACATGAGGCGGCAGCTTCCCTCACTGACAACTCCCTCCACTGAAGTTTCATTTTGACAGGCATATTTGCCCCATCACTGAGCATTGCTATTTTCTTACTCCTAGTGTCTGCTTTGTAGCTTCATTTCTTCTTATTCCTGGTGAATTTCCTGACACTCCAAAGATGCCATCCTTTCTGAAGACATTCTCAAGGGAGAGGTCTTATCCTGAGCTGCAGCGAGTTGCTGTCTGGAGTACACACTGAGTCAGAGTTGGAAGAGTGGATTAGCATGACATAAAGTCAAGCACAGAACTGAGAAACTAGTGAAAGTAAAATAGAAGTAAGAAAATAAAAACAAAAGGAAGCTTAACATTCTTCTGAAATGCTTCTGCAGAATATTAAGGCTAATGGGAAGCTGGTAGGGGAGGCAAGAACATTTATCTGAAATCATTGGTGTGATTGGATGTTGTGAGCCGCGACAAATGATTGTGCATCTCAAAGTATAGGTGGTTTTTCAGGCACAAGGTAACACGAAGATTGTGTCCTTTTTAAAATACTGATGTCATATTCTTCTCCTATACTTTTTAGAGAGCATAGCAACAGAGTTAAGGTGAAAGAGAAAAAAAAGAAGAGATTATTATGGCAAAACCTCACAATGCCCAATGCACACCACTGTGCTTAAAGCAGAGACAGAAATGAGTAAACCCTCCTACGAGGCAACCAAGATGCATTAGAATGTTTGTCAACATGCCTAA